AGGCATTCAAGGCCAGGCTGGATGTGGCTCTGGGCAGCCTGGTCTGGTGGCTGGCAACCCTGCACATAGCAGGGGGTTGAAATTAGGTGATCACTGTGGTCTTTTTCAACTCAGGCCGTTCTATGAAACCACAACTGATACAAAGAGCACAGTAATACTGTTTGAAAGAGCAAATTCTCAGCTACACAACACTATTTTTCAACTTACAGGTTCATACAGTTACTTTACACAAATGTGTTTCTAATCTGCAAGCCTGAAGATGCCTTAATGCAGTTAATTCAGCACACGTGGTACAGCAGGATAGAAGGGATTCAATGGTAGCTCCTGTATGCGCCCAAGAAGTGCTCATGAGTTTACCCCATCAGGATGTTTCTGGCAGCAGAATTCCAAGAGCCTGTCATTTATGCAAACAATTTAATCCTCTTATCTTTGCTGTGACTCGAGAAGGTGTTTCCTTATGTACTGACTCAGAATTATTTTATGAATGAATTTCAACAAAATGAGTCTATTTATTCCAGAGGTTCCGAAAGAAGAAAACTTTTCTCTGCACAGTGCAGGCATTTGTATTCACTGGAGTGCTCCTTTGTGTGTAATACTTGACTTGCTTTATTTTCCACAGTTTATGAGCGCATCTTAAATACAGAGGGAGTACATGTGCACTTTTTTTGTTCAAGGATAATTCGAGATAAGATGCATGCAATGCATGCAAGTATTTTAAGTTCTGCCTTGAGGCTTTAATTCATTTTCTGCATTAGTATTTTTTTAATGGGGACGATGACCTTTCCTGCTCTCGGAATTCTGGCTTATGGATTCACTGCTTTCTAAAATGGTGTTGCACAAATGAAAGCGAATCAAGTTGCGGAACATACCTAATAATTTCTCTGACTTAGAATAGCATACAGTCCTTCAATTGATTTCAAAAAAGGTCCTTCCTTCCTTCCTCCTTTAGAAGTTTTCTTCCTATTGCCATCAAGGGTGAAAGAGGGGCAATCTTACTGCTTCTTTCTGGCCATTTTCTTATCTTTCTTTCAATGTGGGAGAACAGAGTAACACAGATTGTTGAAAGTGTTTATGGATTTCGGTGTAGGACAAAAGTGCACAGTTCAGTTTTCTTTTGAATTTGGAATTAGATTTTCAGCCAAATGATTAAAAGTTTAGCAGAAGCCCCAGTTAAACATCAGGATTTTTAGTAAAAAAAAAACCTAATGATGGAATAATAGAATGGTTTGGGTTGGAAGAGACCTCAAAGGCCCTGCAGCCCAACCCCTGCCATGGGCTGCCTGCCCCCCACCAGCTCAGGCTGCCCAGGGCCCATCCAACCTGGCCTTGGGCTCCTCCAGGGATGGGGCACCACAGCTCTGGGCAGCAGTGCCAGGGCCTCACCACCCTCTGAGTGAAGCGTTTCTTCCTAACATCTATCGATATCTTAATCTCTCTACTTAATCTCACTACAATCCGTTGCATTTATTTTAACGCTTCCCTTAAAAGAGTGTGTTCTATTTGTGAATAGTAATTTTATACAAAGTAAGGTTTTAGAAACTTAATTTGTGTTCTTTAATTTTAGATATAAATAAATAGCGCGTTGATTTTAAATCACAATTCTATGCACTTTATTTTTTTAGTATACAGTAAATGTGTTAAATATCAAAGACTGAAAATGGAAGCTTTTTTTAAACTTTCATCTTCGTTATTTGTGGCAGATTTTTCTCTCCCAGCAAAAAATTCATTATGTCTTGGGATGCCTTTTTTCTCCTCAGTAAGGGATGTTAGCAAATGCTTTGTTTATGCTGGAAAAAATGTTCTGCTCTTAATGTTTTATCAGTTGCATTGGGCCAGAGGTGCCAGCAGTTGTGTGAACAGCCACCTGTATTCACTGTCCTAAGTCTTCAGTCTTGTCATGTTAGAAAGGTTATGAATTATGTGTAACAGTAGGTGCCACTCAATAAATATTTAATATGAGATAGATATTTTGACTGAAATTACTTTTTCACTTGAACAGTGATTTAAACTGTATTTTTTGGTTTTATGAGGTGACACTTTTATAATATCAAGGAATAGCTGGATGCAGTTTGAATGTCAGAGAGCTGCAGGGCAACATTAATCACAGTTTTTTTTCCCTTCTTTCTGAAGGCTGGAGAACTTTTTAGTGCACCTGTGACCAGTCTGGGATTTCCTGGTTTTGTTTTGGAGTCTTTTTTGTGCTGTCAGCATCTCATTTTGCCCATTTTTGCACAGTCACTGGAGAACATTTTAGGCAGCGTTGATATTGACGATGTTTTATGCTGTGCAGAAAAAAAAATGGAGTAGTAGATCTTCTCTCTTAGATTTGTCAAGTTGCTCAACATGGGAAAATACGCATAGCATTTGTAAGAGGAAGCAGATAGATTGCTGTAATGTCTCGGTTGGCTCTGAAGAGTGAAGACTGGAGAAGTATTCATGCTGTTGTCAGAAAACTTGTTTTCTGTATTTGCTGGCACCAGGAGAAAAGTGTGTGCTTCACAATACACAGAAGCTGATGCTGCCTCCCCTTCCCAAGTTGTCACTCTTCCTTGGCTTGTAATGGCTTAGTTATTTAGGTAGAAAAACTGGTTCGAGAAGCAGCGTGTGCACATTCATAGTCTGCTGCTGTTACCTTCCACGTGTAGGAAGCCAGTAGGATTTGAGTTCAATTTGCAAAGTAAACTTTAGGAATACTGCAGCCTATTTCATAGCTATAGTTAGTCCCTTATATATTGTGTATACCCACAGAACTAGTCACATGATGTTTTCAGTACCCTCCAGCCAACTGGTGCCCAACCAGACCCTGAACAAGAGCAGCCCTGGCAAACTCCATCTACGCTCCTCCCTTCAGTTTTTATTGCATAGCAGGACGTGGTGTGGAAGATCCCTTTGGCCAGTTTGGCCCACTTGTCCTAATTGTGTTCTCTCCAAGGCTTTCATCTGTCCTCAACAAGCCTCATAGAATCACAGAATCACAGAATTGTAGGGGTTGGAAGGGACCTCTAGAGATCATCGAGGCCAACCCCCCTGCCAAAGCAGGTTCCCTACAGCAGGTCGCACAGGTAGGCGTCCAGGCAAGACTTGAATATCTCCAGAGAAGGAGACGCCACAAACCCCCTGGGCCTCCTGTTCCAGTGCTCCGTCACCCTCACCGTAAAGCAGTTCAGATCAGCAGCACTGTGGGTGCATGGCTGCAGCTGGCCTTCTAGTGGGAGGTGGCTGGGGCATGGTGGGCCAAGGAAAGGCACCCTACCCTGGCCAGGAGCAAAGGGGCTGCAGCTGCAGCCTTGCCACAGGGACCTGCTGCCTCCTACCCAGCCTCTCCTGCTCTGTGGGGATGGTGGCAAAGAGCTGAGGGCATGTAGGAGCCTTTGCTGCCCATAAGCCAATGGGTGGCTCTGCTGCTGACTGTCTGTCTTCACATAGCCTGAATGGTGCCAGGAAGGCTCGAAGGGCAGCACCTTCACAACTCTGCATGGGCTTGGGGCTTCTGAAGCAAATCATTATAAGGCCTGGATGGAAATTCTCCTTAGAGTAAGAAAACTCCCTCTACACTGCCAAAAGTGTCACGGTTGAATGGCCTGCTGTCAAAATGTGAGCTCTGTTTCCAGTGCCTCCTGTGTACCACTGAGCCTTGGATACCTCAGGGTGCGGGTCCTGGATAACTCTGCATGGGGATCTGAACAAAGCTGGAGGCACAGAAATCATTGCCTAGAGATCTTATGAGAGTGCTGGAGAGAAGGATTTGGAAGGATTTCTGCCCTGCAGAAAAGGCCCTGGGGATCTTAGTCCACAGCCAGCTGAACATGAGCCAGCAGTGTGCCCAGGTGTCCAAGAAGGCCAATAGCATGCTGGCTTGTGTCAGCTCTCGTGCAGCCAGCCAGCAGGAGCAGGAGGTGATTATCCCTCTGTACTTGGTGCTGGCATTCATTTTTGGGCCCCTTGCTGCAAGAAGGCTATTGAGGTACCTGAATGCATTTGAAGAAGAGCAATAAAGCTCATGAAGGGACTTGAAAACTAGACTTAGAAGAAGTGGCTGAGGGAACTGGGACTGCTTGGTCTGGGGAAGAGGAGTCTTAGGGGAGGCTTCATTGCACTCTACAACTGCCTGAAAGGTGGTAGGAAGGTGGGTGTCAGTCTCCTTTGTCAGGTGATGGATGATAGGCATATGTTGTGTCAAGATCTTAGATTGGATCTTAGGAAGAATTTTTTCACATAGAGGTTGGTCAAGCATTGCAAATAGCTGCCTAGTGAATTGGTGGGCTCATCATCCATGGAAGTGTTTGGTACGTGTGGGAGTGGAACTTAGGGACGTGGTTTACTGGTAACCTTGGTAGTGTTAGGTGGTTGGATTTAATAAACTTCAAGGTCTTTTCTAACCCAAATGATTCTGTGTTTCTCCTAATGTTAAAGCCTTCCACTTATATTCCTGCTGAATGATGCTTTCTCCCACAGATGCTGCAGAGTGTGGCCAAAGGAAATTCAAACAATTAAAATATTTCCTGCATTTCTTTGTTATGCCAGTGCTTTGTTTAGGTTGGATGATGTTCTACCTGCTTAAGCTTACTGGGCTTTCAGGTGTCTGGGTTTTTAATTGCATAAGATTCACTTTATTTAAAGGACTGCCAAAAAAGTTTTCAGTTTCCTATTCTTTAGCCATACTGAATTTTAGGTAGTTTTAAATTCTTCTTACTATCATGTATGGTGATTCAGAGCTTGCTTTTATAGAACCTGCTTTGTTATTCTCTTGATTGATCTCCCTTATCTGGTATAATTCAGCTATTTGTCTGGCCTCTTTCAAATAACACCTTCACAGATTTCCTGAACGGTAAGCTTGGAACACTCACTGGAAATATAAAAGTTGCATTTGAAATGTTAGGGAAAAAAATCCCTGCCAATTTTTTGTGGTATCACAGAGAATGAGTTACTTTAAACAGTTTAAGAAGAGAATGAAGAGTATTTCCTGCATATCTCAATAACTATACTTTTGTCCTTTACAGGAACAAACCTTGGCTCTGAGGAAAGAAGGGATAGGTGTTGTGTTAGATTCTGAACTGCCTCATTTAATTGGCATTGATGATGATCTGCTTAGTACTGGCATCATCTTGTATCACTTGAAGGTAAATAAATATCTTTGCTTCCATAACCTTTGTATGCTGTGTGATTTTTTTCACTAGACAAATTGTAGTATTAATTTGCTGTCAAAATACAGTGCTCATTATATGTCTCCACTATGGTGGCAGAAGCTCCTTACATTTCTCTCCTATAGTTCAGGTCTATCCTGAAGATTAACTGGTTAACAAGAAATAGGTACTTACTGTATCTACCTACGTATGGTTTTTCTTCCCATTAATTTCATTGTGAAGCTTGACTTGAAATCCAGAGCTAGACTGTCTCAAAACTAAAGTGATGGTCCTATGCATGATAGTTGAATTTCCTAATAATCTTCTACTAACAACTGATAAAGTGTTTCTTAAAATAGAAAGGAAAGAATGTAGTATGTTGAAACATATACTGGGCCATAGTAGTCTGAGAAAGATAAACCATTTCTCTGTATGAGAGAAAGGGAGATTTCAACTGAACATGTGTATGTTTCTCTCTTAATTAGGAGGGCCAAACATATGTTGGCAGAGAAGACGCTGTGACGGAACAGGATATTGGTATGGAATTTTGCATTGTTTTTTTCCATTCTTTTTAACATCCCAGTCTGTTAACAGAGCTTTATAATTTTCCTTTTTTTTTCAGTTAGTTGTTCATATGTTCTCGCATATCGTAATTTTTAGGAGATTTTTAAGGCTGTATTATGTGGGATATGCTTCAAGGAACATGATTTACAAAATAGCTTGTGGGATTTAAATCTATTCATATTCACATACTTGTTTCTTATTTCTTTCTACTCTTGAAGTAGCCTTCTGTAAAAAAATAATATCCTTTTTCATACAGCACCTGTCACAACTGCTGCACAATCATTCTCTTAACCTTTGTATAATGAGAATATTTTTATATTGTTACACCTAAAGCAGTCTCAGGTCTTTAGATTTGGGTGGAAGAAAATTCTGGAAGTTAAGTGAAAAGTAGGTAGGCTTCTTGTACTGTATTTCTTACTTTTTAAAAAGACAATTAATTGCCACTGCTGAACTGCCCTGTCGTATATATTGCTTAGAGGCAGTTTCATGAAATAAGCTGCATCCTTAAGTTCTCAAATGAAAAGTTGAGAAGTCAGATAATGTAATTTTGTATATATCCTGTGGTTAAAAGATGCATGGATTAAAATTTTTATATAAATACCATGTGATGTTAGGCAATATGGGTGGAGATAATCACACATAGTGCACAGAAAGTAGTCTGATTGATAAGTGCCTGAATGTAATGGAATACATAACCTCTTTTTTCAGCCTTTCAGTCTAGAATTGCATGTTGCTATAGAATCATAGAATGACTTCAGTTGGAAGGGATCTTAAAGTTCATTCAGTTCCAACCCGTTGCTGTAGGCTGGCTGCCCCCCACCAGCTCAGGCTGCCCAGGGCCCCATCCTACCTGGCCTTGGGCAGCTCTGGGGATGGAGCACCCCCAGCTCTCCAGGCAATCAGTTCAAGTGCCTTGCAACAATCTGAGTTTAAATTTCCTTCTAGCATCTAACCTCAATCTCCCCTCTTTTAGTTTAAAGCCATTCCCCCTTGTCCTATCACTATCGGCCCAAGTGAAAATTCAGTCCCCCTCCTGCTTGTAAGCTCCCTTTAAGTATTGGAAGACCACAGTGAGGACTCCCCAGAGCCTTCTCTTCTCCAAGCTAGACAAGCCCACATCTCTCAACCTTTCTACATAGGAGAGGTGCTCCAGCTCCCTAGAATCTTTGTGATCCTCCTCTGGACTCGCTCCAACAGCTCCACATCCTTCTTACGCTGGGGGCCCCAGGCCTGGGCACAACACTGCAGATGGGACCTCACAGGCAGAGTAGACGGGGACAATCCTCTCCCTGCTACCACCCCTCTGTTGGTGCAGCCCAGGATACTGTTGGCCACCTGGACTGCAAGAGCACGCTGCTGGTTCACGTACAGCTTTTCGTCCATCAGGACCCCCGGGTGCTTCTTTACAGGGCTGCTTTCAGTGAGGTCATCTTAGTGAAATTAAGCAAAAAAAGTCTGTCTCTGCAAATTCATAAATTTTCCTTTCCTGTTTTCTTTATCAGAAAAAAATAGGAACTTATTAATCTGGTGCCAAAACATGTGAGAAAAGACCATTATGTAGAATAAATCAGAAAAAAAGCACTTCTCTTGCAATAAAATAACAAAAAAAAATGGGGTCAGTGTTTAAGGAATGTGGGAAGCGATGAAAGAAAGAGCAAATATTACCCAGAAAAAAGTGAGAAAAGACATTTGGAAATATGTAACTCAGTACATCCTTAATGAATCAATATCAGCATGCAAATCTTATTAGTTGTTAAAAGACTAATTATTTTATTTTTGTATGTTTAGTTCTTCATGGTCTGGATTTGGAAAGTGAGCATTGCATCTTTGAAAATCTTAATGGTACTGTGAATCTAATACCACTGAATGGAGCACAGTGTTCTGTGAATGGAATTCAGATCACTGAGGCCACACACCTAAACCAAGGTATTACCCAGCACTGTGTAGTTTGTGATAGTGTCTTTGTTTCTCTCTGGCAAGACCACTGAAAAATCTACGTGTATATAGAGGGATTACAGTTTAATTCATTTAATTTTAATTCAATTTCTTCTGCAGCCCAAGGTGATCAGGAGAGCCATGGACTTCTTGTTCTGTCATAGAACTGCTATGTGGTGTAAAGAGAGCTCTTTACTAATTTAAGCCACTTCTTGATCTTCAGTGTGAAATGATACTTACCATTTGATTTCATTCAAAGCTTATGTGGAAAGTGAAATTCCATGACAGATTGCTGTGATATTAAGAGAAAGAATATTTTAGTCGTGTGGAAACCAGTAGCATTAGAGACATGTTTTTCCAGCTCCTCAGAAGTCCAGGCCAGTCCCACTTAATACACTGCTGCCAAATCCTCTTGCACAACAGGAAGTTCAGCTGGAGCATCTTTTAGCTGCAGCTGAAGGGAAATAACAAACAGCGGGAGAGTAACCCTTACAGGTGACATTCAGGGAATTATAGGTTTAATATTAAAGCTTTAAAATCTGGAAATGGAAAAAGCTCCTTGGACAACTGGACCAAAGATGTGTTTTATTGGCATGGAAAGAAATGACATCAAATAAGCTGAGGATCAAATAATAATCACTGCAGCAGAGGTTCTGATGGTTCTGAGGATCTTCCAGGAGAACCAAGAATATCTTCTCACTTAGCTAAGATCTGCAAACCCATTGAGCAGTGAGGTTTTGTTGCAGCCCAGCTGCTGAAAAGCAGTGCCATTTGACATTCCCAGAAATTAGCTTTCAGAATAAACTTATGCTAAAAAATGAGGAACGCAGTGGACAGAATAGCACTGAGTGAGAGAAGACTTCAGTCTTTCTGAACTCAAATGCTTTAAAATTCTGCTTACAGAAAGCAAGGAGTTTTGGTGTGAGGAGGGGATGTTGCTGACTCTGTCAAGTGTCTATTCATGCAGAATGGGAGTTCTGCAGTCAGAAAGAAAGCCCGACCCCTTTTGTCTTGAAATTGAGTAAATGCTATTGATATCTTGTTAGAAACATTGGCAAGAAACACTTAATGTGAATTGCAGTTGCAGTGCCTCATCTTTTCTTTAGCCTGCTGCCATTCAAAGGCAGTGCAGGTTTGATTGGCCTCAGAAGGAAGTTGAAGTTTGGATGCTATTTCTCTCTTCTAGGTGATGTATCGACTTGAAGTTTGGACTGTAAAGGGTGAAACTGTGGTTTGTTGTTGTTTTGCCTTCTGACTTTCTGTCTAAACAAATTTGCAACTCAGAAACAAGGGGGCAGAGGAAAGGGTTGCTTTGAATTACTAAATTGTGCAAAACAGCTGCCTAGGCTGACCTGTGAACCGTGCAACCAGATTGAGTTTGAAGGAAGGGTTACAGCTATGACATCGGGCTAGCAAAGCTGATAAATCAACTGATTTAACAACTTGTGCACAGCGCGTGTCTTGTAGCCGTGTTAGCATTTAGTCTCACAGCATGAAGTGCCAGCCTCTTTAAGGATCTGATTTGGTATTGCTGATTATCTGCTGATATACTTAAGTGTTTCCGTTTATGATAATCTAAAAATTCGACACATTTTCAAATGAACAGTTATTAATAATAATAATAAAAAAGAGGCATAGTAGTTAATTACCACTTCCTTCTTCAGATTAATTCCTGCATTTGTGAATTCTAGCTAATGTGGCCTCTGTGTAAATGCAACTCATTACACTATTTTTACCTTATTAAGAGCATCTGGTAGAATTTCTAAAAGTAATTGAACAAATATTCACTGGAGCTTGTCCTTTACCTTAAATTTGTCCTCAGTTTAAACTGCATTTTCCATTTTTAAGCCAAGCTGCCAACCTTTCTGTAGTTAACATAATCTCTCAATGTTTGTTTCTTTTTATAGTTAATAGAAGTAGTTTTAAAAACAAAATGAAAGTCAGTTAGAAGTTAGGCAGATCTTAATTACAGATACTTTTGTTTGTGCAGTTCCAAAATACTGCTGTGTGTAGATGATATTTGAATATACATTCTTCATATTTATTTCCTATGCTCTCTGGTCATTTTTGTGTTGGAGTTCACCCATTAAGTTACCAGATCAAAGGTCCGTAAATGATAGGCTGGTTCTGCATGGTTCTTGTTGCTGTTCTTCATACTGTCAGTGTATTTATGAAACCTTTTGTTCTTTGCCATTTAACTTTCAAGGAGAATAAGAATTGTTGCTTAGAGTAAACAAATAAAAAGCAAACAGCATAGCAAATCCAGTTATGTTTCCATGACAGCATTAACACTGTGCATTTGCATTCTGATGGGGAACTGCATTGTATAATAACAGGTAATCTAACCTGATGTTTAGGAGTTACTTGACAGTGTAGCTTTGATCAAAACTTTTTTTTCTTTAATAGGTTTTCATGTTGCATATCTCCGTTCTGTCAAATGGAAGTTAAGACTGTACTTATTCCTTAATGGTAGAATAATTAAAAAATAAGAAGCATGTGGAGGTCCCATCATGCAAAAAGTGGCATGATGGTATAATAACGCCTATGCCATCCTAGGATAAAAAGGAGGAATGTAATAGGAGAAGTGGAAGAATTGTATTTCTCCATGTAATCTGTTCTTTCACCATCGTGGTGTACTAAATTGAGCAAAGCGGTCCAGTGGCTGGCAGCCCTGCTCATGGCAGAAGTGGGTGGAATTACAGGATCTTTAAGGTCCCTTCCAACCCAAAGCATTCTGTGAGTTTAAATACTTCCATAAGTATAGAAAGTGACATGCACACATCTCCTTCCCCCTGTTCAAACTGAAGCCAGGTCCTCCCTGGAAGAGAAACACAGTCGTTGTTCATATGAGCTGCCATCTGGTTTTGAATATCATGTGCTGCTTTTAAGCCTTTCTCCTATATTTTTAGACGTGTGAAGTTAGGAACACGAATCTATATCTGTATTCATTTATTTAAGTACCTACCTGCTATCTAGTATTGTAATCAAAAATATTTACAATTATATTAATCTTCATCTGAAAGTAACCAAGGTCATTTTACTGACATCCTCACCGTCTCCTCTGCTAAAGTCATCAAAACAGCCTTCCCAGCAGATATCAAGAATGGGATAGAGAGGTGTTTGTCTATTTTGCCAGCATGTGAAGACTAGCAACTGTTACACCCTTTCCACTACAGTACCATGACTACCAGGGACCCCTTCTAATATGCTTACATTAAAAAACAGATGTGCCTGGCACACTTCATGAAGGAAAGGTCAACTGGTAGTGTCACATAAATCACAAAGGTGGTATCAAAATGCCTTTGTGATACAGTCTGCATACGGATCAGTGAAACGTTACTCTTTAAGATTTGACAAGGTAAACTGTTTGGTCCAAGATTTGATCTGTTGTGCAGACAACAAGAAGTGATACTGTGATTGTGGAGCCTTTTGTCATTGATTTATCAGGACCGAATGACCTCATTGGGGTCGATGTTCCAAACTGAGCTGATTTATGAGGACCGCTCCTCATTAAGGACAGCATTTCATTCTCACACAATAACAAGTTGTATGAAGAGGTTGTAAGTGCATTTTTTTCCAGGTTGTAAGTGTAATAGGATCCTTTTTCTTCTAAAAGTAACTCACACTGACAGATAAATGCTTGATTTTGTTGTGATTAAGTTGGAAGGCTTCATTTTTATAAGAGTAGTGAAACATCACAGACAGTTTACTTTTTAGTAGGAAGGTATTAATCTAGGCATACCATACTTATAATGTTACAAGAATTGCCCAGGATCACATTATATGTGGATCTGTACCATAACTGATTAAATACCATAATGGATAGGAAGCGAGCAGTATGAATAATTCAAGGTTCTTCCCTGAGAAAATAACTACTGAGTATAAAGGACTAATAATCTTGTTCTGAGTGATGACAAACTTCAGCATTCTTCTACCTAAAGAAGAAAAAGGTTAATGGGACTACAAATGAAGGAAAAGTAGAGGTGAAATGGAATTTTACTTCGATCAGTAGTGGATGAATGATGATTAGTTTGTTCTTAGTCATATTTATGGATGTTCCCATGGTTTTTGGTACCTGCTGGTAGCCTCCAAAGTAGTACTGCTGTAGAGTGTATAGGTCAGATTGGGTCAGTTGCTATGATTGCTTTCTCTTCCTATCCTTAATCTAAACTGCATGAGTATAGTTGACCTTTGTGTGTGTGAACATGTGTTCTTTTAAGTAGGAAGAAGAAGGAATAAAATATGCACATCTGTTAACAAAGCTGTGACTAAATGTTGTTATACACTTGAATTGTCAAAATGCATTTTCATTTTGTTCTGATTTAATGGGAAGCTTTACTTACATATTGGATGACTGAATAATCATTTGGCATTTCCTGGTACATTCTGTTGACAGTAAATGTATGTGTTTTTCTCATCAGGTGCTGTGATATTACTTGGAAGAACCAATATGTTTCGCTTTAACCATCCCAAAGAAGCTGCTAAACTAAGGGAAAAAAGAAAGGTAAGATTAAATCAGCATCTGGGAGAATTTAAATCCTTTCACAACTTTCTTGCTAATGCAGACACACATTGATCATTGTAGAATTTGTTTTGTTTTGCTTCACATAGAATATTTCATGAAGTGAAACAAGACATCAGTTTTTTGTCTAACAAATACATTTTATGGTCTATTGTTAGAGTGGACTGCTGTCTTCCTTCAGTTTGTCTATGACAGATCTTTCAAAATCTTGTGAGAACCTATCAGCTGTTATGCTCTATAATCCAGGGTGAGTATATTCAAAAATGCTGTAGTAAAAATTGCAACTGTTCTTCATTTTCGTTGTTGGAATGTTCCAAATGGCAGTATTAGAAACCATTTTGTTCTCAATTTAACAGTACATACATACTGAATAATGGGCTTCTGAATGAGGTGAAAACTTTCACAAAATGTTATTTGAGCTAGAACTTCACATTCGTTCTAGAAAATGGAGTGACAGGACACCAAGGAGCTTTCCATCCTGCTTAAAACTTGCTTTTAGCTGAGATCTCACTATTGAAATGCAAGAATTGCAACTGCACCAGCAAACAGCCTTAGCAACAAATCTGGCACAAAGAAAGTTGTTGTATTGGAGTTCTAGAGGAAAGATTTGGCATTATATAACCAGGGCTGTTCAGCACAGTAATGATATCCCAAATTTTATCCTTTCTTCAGAATTACAAGATAAGTATTTTTCATAAGACAAATGCATTGTAAACAGAAAATTTAAGGTTTCTAAAGTTTGTATAAACCCAGTGAAGACATTAAAAAAAGCTTTGAAATAGATGTCTGTAAGTTCTCACTATATACGTCTTAGTAGGTGGCCTGGTTAGGATATGGAAAATCATTTTATTATGCAGTTAGGAAGAAATAGAATGTTTGTTGTGGAGAAGCTGATTTTAATGTCTTTCCCAGTGTTCTTTAAGTGATTTATGGAGAATTATGACATTTTGTTCTGTTTCCTTCTTTTTTTTCCAGCAGCTAGTGCCTGTGTTTTACATTGAGAATGAGATGATACTCTTTAACCACCCATGTGCTTCTGAAAAATTGTCAGTAAATTGAATTACAGGCTTGGGTAGAGCAGATTTATTCCTAAATTCTACTGTGGGGCTGTTCTGTATCTGTTAGAACTTAGGAAGATCAGACAGATAATAATAACTGAAGTTAAACAGTCTCTTTAATACTGAGTGTATCTAACAACATTGCTTTAAATATGACTGTTACTCTTTTGCTAACTACCTACTAGAGACCCTGTGTAATAACATTGCATAAATGCTGTAATTGTTGTTCTTTTGCTGCTAAACTATCCACAAAGAACACAGGCAAGGCAGCAAGTTGTTCATAAATTGTCTTTTTTTTCTGAGACAGAGAAGAAAGGGAAGGTTTTAAAAAAAAAGTGTGGATATATTTGTATCATTTTTTTCCTATTGCCTTAATCTTTTCAAATGGTTAGATCAAAACTTCTAATGACAACTGTTAGCACTGTATTTCCTGAGGGCTGTGGAAATTTCCTGTTTTCTTTGTTACTCAGGGTATTGATCTACACTGGGGTACCACGAGCTTTTCTCTGTGTAATTTCTCACATATTGTTAGGAATAATTGCATTCTACTGCACAGTGCTGGCCTTAACTTCGCAGAGAGCATAAATTAGGACAGATTGTTTCAGAATTGCTTCACTTTTAGCCTTTCAGATTTACAGCAAAATATAACAGCGTGGACGTGGCCTATTTGAAGGTTGGGTTCAGAATGAATTTCTCTTACCAGTGAGTTCATACTGCTACACCCTGTCTTGCAGAGAGGAATTTTTCCATGATCCTTTTGTAGAAGTAAATTTAAAAAAAAATGTTGCTTGACCTGGGATGGAGCAGCTCTCACAAATTCTTTTTAAATTCTTCCAACATTTTGTGGAATATCATTTCTTTTTTCCTCATCATATTTTCCAGTAGCTTGCCTTATTTTCTGGAGCTCATACAGTGTGACTGATATAATTATCAGTGTATTCAACAGTTTTTAGAAACCCTCTCCATTTATTATGTTCTGTAACTTGTATGATCCTGGCTTTTTGGGGGCATAATAACAGTGAGCAATTACTGGTGAAATAGAAGATTAGGTGAAAACCCTCTTCATATTCTTGAACTCCTTCATGCCTGTGCTTCATTGGACTGTAAACTATGAGCAGAGGGTTAATAATATTGTCCTGCTATTCTGCAGTCAGTGAATCTTTCTGAACTGCCTTTCAGTATTTTGTCTTACTTGATTTGTAAATACAAGCAAGCATTTTGGTTAAAGCTCGCATTACAGGAGGAATGCATGTCTGTCACTTGATTTTAATTAATAATACCTGTCTGTTTCAGCTACTGCTAAGTACATTTGTTTTTTGGGCTGAGGAAGCTTGTAGTAGTTGTCAGTTCACTATTTAGACTCTTATCCCTACATTTAGATACTTTAACAATGTTTAAAACAATATATGCCATACCTAATGATGCACTTTGCCCGTGTGTGGCAGAGGTGGTTCTCATTCTAATAGATCAGTGACTAAAGAAAAAATATCTCAAACCTGGCTGGTTTTACTGCTTTTATGACTGCTACAACAAGAAGGTAGGCTAGGTAGACTCTGAAGCCTGCACTGCACTGCTTGGTCTTGTAAATTAGTAGAAGAAAGCCTGTTCCATAATTAGTGCAGCTTTCTGAACAGCAGTTTGGCAATAGCAGCTTTTCAGCTTAGGCTTCGTGACAATTTTATTTATATTGATGCTGAAACTGTTTTCTTTCCTTTTCCTCTATTGTGACAGTACTGTTTTTTTGTTTTGTATTTTTTCCTGATGATGTGTTGAGCTTGTCCAAATAGGTGTAATTCCACAGAAAGTATCACTGTAAGGGAAACAGGTGGCTGAGGTAATTACAAGTTAGAAAACATGCTTTGAATAAAGCAGTTCCCAAGCATTTAGGGCTCAGTAATATACAAGACAAGTGGTTCAATATCCATAAAGAGTCAGCTTGCAATATAGGACATGGACCATGATGACAATGGGCTGAGATAGGCTCAGTGATAAGCCAGTTGTGGTATTCTTTTCTTTGTTTGTGGGATGTCTGTAGGTGGCCTGCGTTGTACCTGTTGTTAATTTGGTACTTCCAGCCTTTCATCCCTCCAGTTTCAGTTCTGATAACCTAAAGGCTGGTAGCTGAATTAGCAATTTCTGGAGGTTGCAGTAAGCATTATGTAGCGTCCAGAATCCATACCAGTCAGTGGTGGAAGAGCCTGTGGGCTACCCCTTTCAGTTCAGAACAAATAACATAAATGACAGCTGCTTTGTGTGTGTGTGTGGCTATGAGGTCTCCTTATGTAGCTGGCTGAAGTTTTTAGATTTCTGGATGTGTCATTAAGAGATTGTTTCCTTTGAAGCTGTATGCGATCTGGACTTATTTCAGAGCCTGAGAGAAAGTGTTAGCTCCTGATTTAAAATAGTGCTTACTGAAAAGAACAATAAAAGAAAACAAAACCAAAGAAACTTGTAATGATTGGTAATACCTCTTAAAGCACGTGGCATTAGCTAGTTTCTCGGCCCTGTTTTCAGAGTACATTGTGCTTGTTATTCTAAAATGAAGAAAATGAGAGAATAGGGACAGCTTATGTTCCTTCGAAAAGGATTCAGCTTTTGAGCAGACTTCAGGTTCTTGCAAGTAAATGCAACTAAAACCACTCTTTTTTTTCCTTTGGAAAGAAAACCCATATCACCAAATTAGCTCTGTAGGCTAAGAACAATGTCCAAATTAGCAGTTGATTTTTAAATTTGGTTTTTCAGTCCCTAAACATTTATTGGTGGTCACTGGGACATCATGCATAACAAGGTCTCTGCACTGCCTTAGCACGTGTGCTCAGTGCCACTTGAGTTCTTTGAGACTTCATTCCACTCTCAGCTGCATATGGTTGTTCCCAACTTCTGTGTACTGAAATGTTGCTTTCTTTAAAGATGATAACACGTAGATTTTTGCTCATTTTATTTGCGTGTTCCTCATAGGAAAATCAGTTACCTTCAGTGTATTTTCAGGTGGGTGGTTCTGTTGTGTGGGATTTTTTTTGTTGAGTTGGTTGTTGATTTCCTGTTAATGTTGTCTTACTGTACAAAATCCTTTGTTCTGCTCATTCCCAATCTTTTTCTCTAATCCAGTGTCATGCAACACTGCTTAAGGTAATAAGCTCTGAGTAAAACAGTTTTTCTCATAGATTTGTGTTGAAGATTTCATTTATGGGCCTTTTGTAAACTATATTATACTGTAACTGTGAAACCACTCATGAGAAACCTTCATTTGTCTTCAGCGTGTTGGTTTTCTTTTTTAATTAATCTCATGCATTGAGCTACTGAACAGCATTGTAGCATCTCTGTAGTCTTGCTAGTATTCAGTCTTTCCTAATAGATGTAGTACCAGATCACACTTTTGTGCTGTGTAGATTAGGCTATTGTGGCATTGAACCAGTCCAACTGACTTCCTTTTCTCTGCAGCTTATCTGCACTGTCTTTATCTCTAGATATAGCATGTTTTCCAGGAAAATGGTGACTATTTAATTCTACACTGATCAGATTAAGTTCTTTTATGGTAGATCTACAAAAGAAGAAAGAGTAGATTCTAGTCTTTAATATCTCTATTTTTTTTTTTTTTTAAATTTCAAGCTATACTTTTTTCTATTCACAGTAGTGCTCACATTAATAAAGAGAATAGAGATCATGAGACAAACTATTTTATTAAGGATAGACTAAACCATAGAACATCAGTCTTGCATCTGTACTTTGTCAAATTGGCAGTGATTTCTTACAGCCAGGGCTGTTTTTGGTGATGCTGAGACTTTATTTTAGCAACTTCTTTAAGAGGGAAGGTTCCTGTGATCACTGCTTGTGCTGCTTCCCCACATCCTCTCCTGTCCTGAAAGAACTCTGAGCTCATAACCAGTTTGAAGCAAATGTTGCAGAGGTAGTGGTATCAAAAGTAATGAATTCCTAAATGTGTGGAGAAAATGAGCATCCGGATGAGGAAGACGTGTTGTTTTTACCCCCGTGGAAATAAAGGCTGCAGTGTGGGCACCAGGGATGGAGAACAGAGACACTGAATATCTGCATGGCAGCAGAAAACCTTCAGTGGAGCTTCAGCCTCTTTGGGTGTGAGTGCATCTGTGCACTGGCAATAGACAGGGCTGCATTAGGCCTTCTGTTCATAGGACTGTACCTTACCTTTACCAAAATGCAGTAAATGTAGGTTTTTAGAACGGGTGGATGTGGTGCTTGGAAGCTGTTGGTCGGGATGTTGGTGGTGATCTGTATTTATCTTTGGGAAGCAGCCATTTACTCGGGAGAATGAACTGCTTTTGCATAGTTCATTCCTGTCTTTCCCAAAGAGCCCTTTCAGCAGCTGGAGCTTTGCTTTGGTGTACAGTAGGACTGATTGCCACTGCCAAAGGTGGTAGAGACGCTTCATCAAAGGGAAAATCATAGAGTTTTCACCGCAGACTTGTTTTTATATTGTTTTCCTTCTATCAGATCTCAATGAAAAGCCACTTACCATTTTTTATGTCTATATATCAAATGTTTGCCAAATCTTCTGTTTTACAAGGCTGTCACAACATCAAGAGATTTTGCTTTGGGTTTTGTGCATTATGTTAGCAGATCAGAAATGTTTTATTTCTCTGTGCCATAACTAATCTCGGGCATACTTGTAAATCATCTTTGCTGACTATCTTAGCAAACATGGCTTGCATCTGACAGTGCTTAATGGACATCTGTATTTCTGAACTCCAGATCCCTAGGATCTGTATTATTTTGGACTGAGATAATGATGAATGTGGCCATGCCCTGGCTATGAAGTGAGAGCTAGCAGCAATGAATTCTGGAGGCAGACTGGAGCAAAACAGAGGGATTTTCAACTGTCATATTAAAAAAAAAGTTATTAACCAATGGATAGGGCTTTTGCCTTCTGAAGATCTGTTGAGATTGCTTCTTGACCTGCCTTTTTTTTTTTTTTTTTTTTGCATAACTTTGTGGATTTTGCATTGCTGCTACAGGAATTGTGATGGATTTAAAAATACTCCAGTTCTCATCTCTTCTTGTGCTCTGTCATTAAGATAGTGCCTACAAGTGTCCATCCCAGATGTACTCTTAGTGTAAAGGTGAAAGAGAGCTCTTGGTGAAACATTGATTAGAAAGCTCTGAATGTCTGGAGCTGCGTATAGAAATCTATATTTGCTCGTCTCTCAGGCATTGCAGAAGGCATTTTTAATATAAGTTTGTGAGAGATGGGAAAAAGTGGTGTTTTTAAAACTGATATTTCTTCACTAATCCAATGGTCAGAATGATGCTTTTTGAGCATTGTGGAATCATGGTTTACTTGAGTTGTTTTCTAAACATTATGTTAGCAGTGTATTTTTTGCATGTTTCCAAGGGCAGTTCCTTTTTGCCACAGGTAATTTCATGACTTTGGAAAGAAATATTAAATATACCATAGTTCTAAAACACCTGCCTATTTAATTGCAGTCATGACGTCTTAAATTGCAGTTCCACAAATAATTCAAGTTAGCTCATGGTGCAATCTTGCATTTTTTTCAGTGTTAATGAACCATCTCACCTGCAAACTGCTAAAGCTGTCAGAGGTCTGGAATAACTGGAGATTTGTGTGTTTAGTTGAATATTTCAGCCCACATTTAGGCTCTTTACGCTTTAAAAAAGCACAGAAAATATTTATTTTGGAAGACTGCCTTAAAGAATATAAATCTGTTGGAGGAAATTAAAATAAGAGGGAGACTTCTGTACTACTGTAATAACAGCCGATATTAAAAGTGACAGAAAATACCTCCTCATCATTACTCAGAACTGTATCAAGCTAAGCACACTGAAGTCTCAAAATATTTGAGGTAAAGAAGTTTGTGTTGTGTTCTGTGCTGGAGTGTTTCACTTTGCAGGATTGTGCTTTTTCAGCCTCACTGCTGGCATCACAGCGATGTGTTGTTTCCATTGGGAGGAAGAGGCAGAACTACAAGCATACAGTAGCACCATTTCAGAGCTCTTTCACTTCTCAGAGCAGGCCAAGCTAATAAACCATAGGATTATCAGATCGATTAACAGCCATTGGCACTTGTAAAACATGTTCAGAAAGAATCACTATGTAAATTTTACTTTGAATTGTGATGTAATTGACTGTTCCACAGATCTAACCTACTTAACCTCTAATAAAACAAACTGTTGGCGATGTTAAAATATTCTATACTGCTATTGTGTTTTTTTTCTATCAATTCCTCTCTTAATTGATTGCTCTGTTTCCCCCTACCTCCCATGGCAGTCTTTTCCCTGTGAAAGGACCGATCTGTTTAAGGTAGAGAAATTCAATTCCTATCTATTGATTGCCATGTCCGCATGTAGTTAACTTACAGAGGCTATCCTAATCATTTATGTTTTTTTGGCTTTACTTTTTAAATAGATTTTTTTCTTTTCTCTTAGGAATTCATTTTTCTGTTTGTTCTCAAGTGTCTGACATCATGATATCTAATTTGTAACTCTAATGAAGGAAATATTTTCTTTTATTGTAGAAAGTAGTTCATAAAACTTTTTTCATTCACATCATTGTTATAATCTTTTAAGCAGACACTGTGAAGTGCACTGTATTTTCTTTTTCTAATATATATGTATATTTTTTAATCAGACTGGAATTTGAAAGACAACAACGAGAGGAACTTGAAAAATTAGAAAGCAAAAGGTAACATCATTCTCTGGTCTTTGTGTCTATGTGTTTGTATATATGTATGCACACATACATCATGGGCTCATTTAAATCATCAGTTTTGAATCACAGTGTTGGTAAGTAGAGGATGCTGTTACAAATATTTGTGTCTTGTTAGTTGTTTTTTCCCCTTTATAAAACTTTAGTTGGAGTACTGTAGATTCTCACTGATTAATAACCAGATAATAACCAGATAGACAAGCTTCACTGTAGCAAAGTAAATACTAAGCAGCTGTAGTAATGATATGTGCATATTAATAATACTTCCCAGAACACGATTTAAAACACAAAAGGAAGTATTGTCAACTGGAGAACTGACCTGGTTGATCAGATTCATCATACCTGCTAGGCTCTTAAAAGTAATAGATTTCATCTTGTTGGAGATCACAGCACTGATTAGACTCAAAGGCTGAAAGACACTTTCTAAATTGTTTGCTGGGTTTTGAAAGAGCTGTTTAGATAGTAGGAATAAGTTAAGCTAAAAACCAAAATAAATGTCAACACCAAAAAGCCTCAAACCCAATCTCAGAACAATTAGGAGACGTAGAATCACTGATACTTATCCTCTTAGTTATGTTGGTAGGCCTTGAGTTCAGTTTATGCATGTCCTTTAATTTCTGAAGTCTCAGTTCTTCAAATCTCACTTGGAACTCACTAGAAGCTTTAAATGGGTATTGCATGGGACGTGGTTTATCTTAAAGTTATTCCAACTGCATCTGTTCCTTAGCTTATATTCCTGTTTATCAGTCATCCTGTTGGGTTCACTAAAAGAGAAGGCACGGTTTCTGTTCACCTACTGAATCAAATTTGGTGAGGCAAATAGCAAATAAAGTCCTTTGGTTAAATGTTGTCTGTATGAAAATAAGTGTGTAAATATATATGCTTACTCTTCACTGTGCAGTGTATTCCATCAGTATTTTTACTGGCTAGGATAGAGCTAACAGTCTAATAGTATTCCATGTAAATGCTATCTAATATGTTTTCTTATAGTTTCATGTATCTACGGCTTTGCATGTTGAAATCTGTACTATTTGTCTCAAGTATTCATTCATTTCCAAGGAGTATAAGATTTTAGCCTGTAGCAAAACAAAATTATTTAAAAAGAAGAAAAAAAAAAGTGATATATACTCTAAAATCCCTATCTAAACATTTTTAACTGCCTAGGGTTTTGTTGTCATGGAATCACAGAATGGCCTGGGTTGAAAAGGACCACAGTGCTCATCTAGTTTTAACCCCCCTGCTATATGCAGGGTCACCAACCAGCAGCCCAGGCTGCCCAGAGCCACATCCAGCCTGGCCTTGAATGCCTGCAGGGATGGGGCATCCACAGCCTCCTTGGGCAACCTGTTCCAGTGCCTCACCACCCTCTGTGTGAAAAACTTCCTCCTCATATCCAACCTAAACCTCCCTTGTTTCAGTTTAAACCATTCCCCCTTGACCTATCCCTATCCACCCTCGTCAAAACAAAAAAAGGTAGATATGTTTCATGTAAATGTTTTCTTGTAGGAAACAGATAGAAGAGATGGAGGAAAAACAGAGATCTGACAAAGCAGAGCTTGTAAGAATGCAACAAGAAGTGGAGTCACAGCGCAAGGAAACAGAAATAGTACAGCTGCAAATTCGAAAACAGGAGGAGAGTCTGAAGCGCAGAAGTGTTCACATTGAGAGCAGGTTGAAGGATTTGCTGGCTGAAAAAGAGAAATTCGAAGAAGAGAGATTGAGGGAACAACAGGAGATAGAACTTCAAAAGAAGAAGCAGCAGGAGGAAATTTTTGCCCGTGTCAAAGAGGAATTGCAGCGCCTACAGGAACTTAATCATAAAGAAAAAGCAGAGAAAATGCAGATTTTCCGAGAACTGGAAAAGCTTAAAAAAGAGAAGGATGAACAGTATATCAAGCTGGAATCAGAAAAAAAGAGAATTGAAGAACAAGAAAGGGAGCAGATGATGCTTGTGGCTCATCTAGAGGAGCAGCTTAGAGAGAAACAGGTCATGATACAGCTCCTCAAGCGAGGCGATGTACAAAGAGTCGAAGAAGAGAAGAGAGATCTTGAAGATATCAGGGAATCTCTTTTGAAAGTCAAAGAAGCCCGATCTGAAGGTGAGGAAAACTGTGAAGAGTTAGAAAAAGCCCAGCATAGCTTTATAGAGTTTAAAAAGAAACAGCTAGAACAGTTGACTATACTGGAAAAAGATTTGGTTCAACAACTGAATCACCTAGAGGAGGAAATAGCACGTGAAAGAGAAACTCTGGAGCATTTAAAACTTGTTGAGGAAGAACATGTAAATCTCAAGAAGGACGATGAAAACTTTGGGGATGCTGTGCTCAAGGCTGAAGAATTTGACATGATAAAGCCAGCGGAATACAGGCTTCAATCTAAAGTACGCCAGTTTGAGTACCTGAAGAGTAATCATTTGCCAGCTCTGCTGGAAGAAAAGCAAAGAGCCTCTGAAGTCCTTGATAGAGGCTTGTTAGGATTAGATAATACTCTGTATCAAATAGAGAAAGAAATAGAAGATAAAGAAGAGCAGCTTGCACAATACAGAGCTAGCACAAATCAGTTGCAGCAGCTTCAGGAAACATTTGAATTCACAGCCAATGTAGCTCGGCAGGAAGAAAAAGTTCGGAAGAAGGAAAAAGAAATCCTTGAATCAAGGGAAAAACAGCAGAGAGAGGCATTGGAACAAGCTGTAGCTAAGTTAGAAAGAAGGCACTCTGCTTTGCAACGTCGTTCTACAATAGACTTTGAAATTGAAGAGCAGAAGCAGAAGCTCGCCACATTGAACAACAGCTGCAGTGAGCAGGCTGGCCTGCAGGCGAGTCTGGAAGCTGAGCAAAAAGCCCTTGAACAAGACCGGGAGCGGTAAGTGTTAGGATAGCATCAATATTTAGAGCTTGTAATTCACTGAAAGTGAGTCATTTTATGCCTTGGATCTTGAGGGGACAGTTTGTTTTGTGTCTCACTGTTTGAGCTTCTAATTTTAAGTAGTTTGCTCACGACTGAGGCTGCATATTGCTTTTCAGTTAATCCAAGTAAACCAGTGGGATGTTTAATTTTTTGTTACTGGCTTTAGGACTAAGTAAAGTAGACTGCCATATATCTGTGTAAAATTCAGATGCTTGCATCCAGCCCTATGTGATGACAAACCCTTTTAGGTACAGAAACATCGTCTGCACCCTTCTGCACACTTTTACGTACACATGATATTTGGAGCTGTACTGTAGCATTCATGCCAAGCGTAGAAGGCTCAGAGGAAAGTGGTTCAGGTAAAGAGGGTTCTTCCTTTGCAGAAGGAAAGGAAGAATTTTTAATTTAATTTTTGGCCAAAGAAAAAATCCCCTGGGATTGGTGGACTCAATCCATGCAGTCTGGAAAAAGGCAAAATGAGCATTTTAAAACATGTTGTCTGATTTGCTAATGCTGCAGCTTGAAAACCTGTCATTACTGGTGGAAAAAAATGATTCTGTTTTTCATGAGGTAGAATTTGTGGTTTGATTTTTAAATTTTATAGTGATTATGGGATTCTTCTTTTGCAAGCACTTCAAAGCAGATGCTCAATGAGAAAAATCAGAAAAAAATACCTATCTGTAGCCATATCCATGAGCTCTTCTGTATCTCATTTCTTTTAAACTGTTATCAGGAGATAATAGTTCCTTTCTACACCCTGCATAGAGAGCACTTTTTCAACATTTAAAGCTGCATTGTATGGCTTTTAGTTAGACGTTTTCAATACTGAGTTATCATTCTGTCATAGATGTTTGCCTTTATGTTTTGTAATTGTCTTGAAGAACATGTATGTAATCTAGCTTTCTGCACTGAGCATCTCACTTGAATAAAGCCATCTATAAGCAGCTGGAGGTTCCAGAAAAATAGGTGGCTTCTTAGTTAGCCCTCAAGAGATTGCTGGGTTGTGTGGTAAGTGGAAAAAAACCATATTGTCAGCTAGAAGAATGAAGCTGGAAAAGCATTCCTCAGAAGTAAAAAGATTTATTTTTTTCCCTTGTTTACTTTAAAATCCTTTTGCACAAACTAAATGCAACTTTGTAGTCTTTCAGTGAGTGCCCCAGGGCCCTGAATAACTTAGTGCAGAATGTCGTTTATCTGCTCACAGGGAGAGCTGGATTCTTGTGAATGATGTGGCAAAAGAAAATGTTAAGAGAATCGTTAAATATTTCAACCTACTTATATAAACCTAACGCACGAATGTCTGAGTTTACACTGCACAGTGTAAATTGTGATATCCTGGGCACTTGAAGTGCATGTGTTTCTTATTTTAATCCAGGAGGCATTTTGTGATGCTGTGCTCTGGAAGAAGAGATAGTGCTAACTGTCTAATAATGTAAATCCAGTGTTCATTTGAAATGTTATATTAACCTAGGTCCGTCCTAACTGGATGAAATTTCCAGTTTGAATAATGTTAGCTCAGAATCTCACTCACCTACAGGGGTAACCCCTCAAATGATAATTTGAAGTGAATTTGTGCTGGAATATCTCATGCAAGCTTTGTCTTTATTAGCAGGGATTTAGAGCAATAGAATGAGCGTTATATAACCTCTGAGGCAGTGGGATGCATTGCTCAGAAGGGGCAAGGAGCAGATCATTGGCAGATGCATCACACAGCTGGATAAGCGTATAGCTGTAGGAAATGATATCTTTTGATAGGAGGATGTTTACAAATTGGGGGATAAGATATGTTCCCTTAATATAATTCTGATTTTTGTGGTTAAATTGATTTTCCATAGATGCAAACACTCCCCCGTATCCATCAGCCATCTCCCATCCACTTTCCTGCAGGACGCAAGATTGTTTTCCTGCTAATCATAAGAAACAGATGGTTTCTGGCTGTGCTGCATAAAGTACTCAAAAAATGAAGTAACAATTCAGCCTGCTTTACTCCTGCCCAAGCCCCTCAGCATTTGTGCTCTCTTCAGTTTTCTGTACTAACCTTCAGGGAGGGATAAAATAGTTGTAGCATTATGCTTCAATCTGGATACACGCAACTGCAGTGGAGGTGCTAGAATCCTTGCTTTGGATTTTTCCCCTTCCTTTTGCAAGAACTTCTGTTTTACTCTGTAATTTTTGAGTAAACCTGAGAAAAACAATTAATTTCAGAGACAGAAGCTGCAAGGGCAATGGGGAAGTTTATTACTGTATTATTAATCTAATGTTGGCCACATTTTAAGTGAAAATCACGTTCTGCAGATCACTTTGTTAAAATAGTTTGACGAAGTGATAAATATTGCAAGAAGTCCTTCTTATTTTATACCAGATGCCTCAGGCAGTTTCAGTCTAAACTACTGTGTCTGATTTTATATATTCTATTCTGTGCATAAATCTGGCTGATACGATATTTATTCTGTGGTTAGAGAAAGTGAGGTGTTCTCCGTTTCAAAAGATGATTTATAAACAATTTGAAATCAATTCTAGGCTTTATTTTGTAAATTTTCAACTGCAGACAGGAGGAATAACTGAAAAAATAGAAGATTTATGTATATAACATACAGTTATTAAGATTTTCTCAGGAAATATGTCCTGCCTCATTGCTGTTTTAGGTTGCCTTTGTTTTTGGGATTACTGCTATATTTTGAGATACCTCAGCTTATTTCCACATGTATTCATTTACTTTACACTAGAAGGTGAATAACTGAGATCTTCAATAAAGTTCTGTAATGTGGGAAAGCTTATTCAAATTACCCTAAGATAGATTTAGTCTTCCTGAATTCATATTTAATGCACTGAGGTAGATATCACTGAAAGACTTTGGTGTTGTTTTATTTAGTTTAGCTTTGCTGTGGTAATCTGTTATTGAGCCATCCCTACTTTCCTATCTAAATTTGCCTAAAGAACAATTAGTGTGCTCATATCTTCACAAATATTTATAACTAAGATCTTGCATACATGGATTGCAGTGTAATTACAAGAACTGTGGGCAGCAACGACACCTTAAAACAGACAACCCAAATTACATTTTAGATTTTCTTTGTAGCCTGGACCAGGAAATTCAGCAACTGAAGCAAAAAATATACGAGGGTGATGCTGGTCAGAAAGGAAATCATGGAACATCAGAAGAGAGAGTGTCCCATAGCAACTCCCCAACAAGCCCAACAAAGCCACAGCCACCCCTTTCTCCACTGGTTGATGACAGGTAGGTAACCTGGATTTCTGCAGTGTTTTGATATAAATGGAGTAGAAAATAAATACTTTGTAAGATTGTCCTGCCAGCATTGGACTGTAATTAAATACTGTAACTGTACTTAAAGAAGAGTCTGGAAATAAATTTGCTGTGCTTTAAAAAAAACCAACAGACTTATTTGTTGCTCTTATGCCATTTTATTTTTTGAATACAGGTTTGTGAAACTCTAAGCTCAAATTGGTTTTGCACGTACAGTTATTGCCTGTATGATATTGCTTTATATGCACTAAAAGCAACAAAACAAGTGAAATTACATTAAGCCTTCTTAACAGGACAGTTGCCCTCTGTTACTATTTTTAAATCTATTCCTTCCTTTTTATATTCTTTTTATTCTTATACTTACAGTCATTAATACCTGTTGGAATGTTCTTTCTCTTCAAAGACCACACGCATTTTGTAGCATGAGTTACCTATAAAAGCAAACCATTGAGTGGTAAAGATACAACCTCAGCCTCTGTTTCTTCATCTCCCTTGTCCTCATTGCCAGTTGTGTGTAGAGACAGATGCAAAGTGGTGACATAACCTGTGGTCCATTGAATTGTGTAGTTGTGATAACTAATTGTTAAAACTGTAAACCATCGGCTGTTAAATGAACACTTGCTCAAAAAATCTATGTTGGTTAAGGAGAGATGAAGCTTGTCTAACATTAAGCCTGCCAGTTTAGAGTTGTGCAGTTGGCTTTGTAAGTGTTTCAGAGCGCCTGTCTCAGGTTTTGTCTAAGGATATGCTACTTTTCTTTTCGTACTTGTATCTTGCAGGATAAATGCCTTTATTGAACAAGAAGTGCAGAGAAGGCTCCAAAAGATCCATCATAAATCTGAGGATAATGATGGTAGCCTGTTCTGGTCTACAGAAAGTTTAAAGGTGAGCAAAGAAGGGTAAGAAATCCTGACCTTCAGTGCAGCATGTGCGCACACAAAGTAATTATTTTTGGTCAATAATTTTCATGTTTTCCTGCATCAACTCTAATATACCATTGATATATAAATAAATCAGGGCTATTCGTTTTAGGTCTTGCTGGTTTTGTTTTCTGGTGACTGTATTTTGTTTTATTTCAGCTTTTTTGCAAGGAAGGTTGTGTAAACGGCCGTAAGAAGATTGCAGATAGAATTGAATCAAAATTTTCATGTTATGCCTTTGAAATACATTGATAAAGTTTCTTCTGGAAGATCAGGAGCTGTTTGTACTTGCAAACATATGCTGATGTAAAAATTGATAATCTGATTCTTCTGAGGAATGATTTGGTTGACTTCTGTGCCAGTGGTTTAATAAATATAAATAAGAAAACAGTTATTTTGGGCTGTTAAAAAATGTCTTCTTATAAGTACTTAAAATGAACTAACACAAGAAAGATGCTTTATTTAATAATCACCTGTACCTTTTTTTGTTCTTAGGATAATGAGAGGCTTAATAATGGCACCATTCAGCGCAAGTTGAAGTATGAGGTAGGTCATAATTTGTCAGAATTAAGTGGTTGTCTTAAATTATGGCATGCCCTGTAATTAAATTTCTTAATGTTTAGCTGCATAATTAGAAATTTGAGTTCACAGCGAGATTAATGGCTAATAGAGAAAGCAATTTATTTTGCTATCTTGGAATGAAAGTGATTTTTTTCAGATTGGGCATAGCCTTTTCCTTGATTGAAAGGTATGTTGTTGTGAATGTTTCTTCCTTGTTTTCTCATGATTCTTAATTTGGAACAGTATCCCTTTCCTGATTGTTAGGTTATAAAAGGACAGGATGTTTGAATTCAGAATGCCACTGCACTGTTGTGTCTCGTGAGCTCAGTACTGTATAATTGTTTGTAGTATTTGCATTTGCATTGGGCAAATTTCCCTGAATGTCATGAAGGTTTAATACATATAACCTCATACTGAGACTTAGACCCCTTAGTTCCTTTGCAATTGCTTGAAACATTGCTGATGACTTGACATGGTGAGTATTGTACTGTATTTAAACTTTTATGGAGGAAGGGGGACTTCAGTATCTTTCATTTGGACTTCCCCATAGTTTATTTTAAGCCGTCTTGGGCTTTATCATTATCTTGTGCTTGCCTTTTCACGATCTTGGATAGTATAGCATCGTATTTTTGTACATGTGTGGAAAAATAATGAAAGTCTTACAAATTTCTTCATTGCCCTTTTGACTTTCCTGCATTTTTATTCTTATTTTTTAAATAAAGCAAATATAAACCAAGTGAAATGGATACTGTACAAAGTAAAAGCAATGGTAGCTTTGGATGAATCATTCCTGAATCAGATCTCAATCGGTTTTGTTGGGTTTTCCTTCTCTAATTTGGGCAAGATTACACAGTGATTGTACAAATTTTGGTTGAATGCACAAACCCAATCAAAATCAAACCTGAATTTAAGAAATGTTAAAATCAGAAGGTTTTTTAAAGACATTTCTGTTTTCTTCTTTTGACGTTTTTAACAGAAAAGTCAACAGTGGCAGCCCCATTGTGACTTTCCATTTATTTCTAAAGATGACAAATGTGCTTCTGAGCTGTGTGGAGAAAACACAGGAGTAACAGATCATAAAAGACTGAAGGAGTATACAGAGATGTGGGACTTATTTTCCAGGCCTGGAAGAATCTCCTCCGCCTTTACATCAGAAAAGGCATTTGAGAATGGAAGGAGAAATGCAGAACAGGAGAGCTTTGCTAGTCTTTATGACACTGAAAGTAGTTTAACTCACTCTGAAAATATTAGTACTTCAAAGAGTAAGAATGTTCCTTATCAGAATGTTTTATCTACTCCTTTACAAAGTCATGACTTAAATAATGTGGCTTACTCACTCTGCAAATTTGAAAATTTCAATCATTTTGACGATAAAATAATTACTTCTCAGGATTGTGACAGCTCAAGAACCGAATGTGATTGTTCCCACTTGGAACAGCTGTCTCCTTTAGGATCCTTAATGTGTGCTAATGAGCAGGCTGGTTTTAACAGCATATCGTGCCTTGCCTTTCCTCAGTCTAACATACATTCTGAAATAACTGTTAAAGAAAGCAGATCATTTAAGACCATGCAGCAGACAATAGAAGACCAGTCGAGTAGTTCTCAGCTTCCAATTGGAAAAGCTTCTGATTTAACCTCCTGTACATCAATAGCTTCTCATTTTGATGTCAGACCAGAACATGCCTATGGTCTGGGATATCTTTTCAGTAAGCTTTCCTGCTTTTACAGAGATACTAGTAGTCAATTGCTCAACAGTACAGTGGTTTCTAAACAAATTAAGAAGTTGGCAAGTTTGTGTGACAAAAGTGAGAGATGTGCACAGGTGGTGTCGTTAATAAAGCATTTGCCACTTATAAGGAACTTGGAAGTAGATGTGTTCTTCAAGTCCTGCATGAATCAAGATGTATCCCACTGTACTGATGACACCAAAGCTGATACTGAAAATGTTGTTTTGCCTGACACCTCTGTGAAAGAAGATGTCACGATGTGTGGAAACACAGGAATGTCAGATGCCTGTGTGAGAAAGCCAGCTGAAGGATTTGTGTGCTGCTGTAAGAATGAAGAGTTGGAAAATAGTCTTGTGTTAAGACAGACTTTTCTGCATTTTCCTGATGTCTTTATCAAGCTTCAGGTCTGTTCTCTTGAAAAAACGCTGGACTTTTTAACCTGTGCCCTACCTCAAATTTGTGTTAGTATGGAGGAGTTGAAAGGCATATATTGGTTTGCTGTTGGCAATTGCAAAAAATGCGATCCAGAACCTGCTTGCTTGCTTCTGTTCAGCTCTGTTTTATATGTTATTGTTTCGTCAGCCAAACAAGAGATTGGTCAGAGTTCCTTGGCAGTATTTCATGAGGTTCCAATCATCACAATACAGGAGATTCATGTTGGCTTTGCTGGACAGAGTGTGAGTCTCCTGTGTTCTGCTGAAGATGATGTACTCACAATATTTACCTATAACAGACACTACACTCAAAGAATTTGCCATGACATAATGAGCATTTTGATTTCTGCAACGGAGGATGCTGCTTATTTAAATTACCAGCTCTTGAAAGATGATTTGATGCGGATTTCGCTCGACTGGACGTCAGAAGTAGATGACATAGTCCTTTCACAAGGAGTGCGCTTGTCATGTAAATTCAGAACTGTATTAGCTGATCTGGTTTACTTACTCCACGAAAATATGGGAGATATTAAACCTTCATTAGCTGACATTCAAGTGCTGCTGTATACCACCGTGAAAACAAACTGCGCTAACCAGACTGTGTATAGATCTCTGGTTCTGACTACTACTCATATCGGTCTCTTAAGGGAAAACAGTGCCTTTTATCCTGCACCTAGCTTTTTGGATGCTTCATGCAAGCGATCACAATTTGACAGCCTTCAGTTGTACAGTTTGAATGATATCCGATGTGTAGTTTTGCCAGACAAAGAGAATTTCACAAAAATTGAGCTTGTGTTTTCTAGAAGGAGCAAGGTTGGATCTGATTCAGGAATTGGTTTTTCAAAATACTGTGGAAAAGAAATAAATACTCAAATGACAGTCATCCCATCAATTCCTCAAAGCAGTTTGCATATCCCATCGGAAATCTGGAAATTAACATTCAGTTCAAGTGAAGAAGCCATTTGGCTAATTATGCATCTGACTAGGTGTTGAAATCGAAATACATTTAGATACATTCAAAATAGGAAGGCTAATGAATATTGATAAAATACTCTGTTGTCTATTGATTTTGTTTTAAAAGAAAAGAGAAAAAAAGAGTCCTTTGGGCTCTTAAGAGAATACCTTAGGATGGGTGAACACACCTTAGCAAAAATCACTATTACTTGATAGCTTACTTTTGTGCTGTACATAAATTTCCTTGGAAGAGGAGGAAATTAAATGGTTCTATTTTAAGTAGTAGATGGATCAAAACTATAATTGCAGCTGTATCTTCCGATTTCCTTTTTGAGCGTTGTTTTTGGCTTCCTCCATCTCCTATCCATCTTAATGTATTTTCTCCACATCTCCTTGATTGTCCTTTTTCTTAATCTGCCTGAGTATCTTTGTTTTTGATGCTTCTCATCTATTTTGTGCTGCTGATGTCAGTGCTTCCAAATATTTGCAGTATTCTTTGTCTGAACTGCAAAGTGTGTTTAAGCCTACAGTTCACTGTATGCTGTTAATACTAAGCGTGTTGATGGTTTTTATTGCTACAATTTTGGAGAGAATAACATTGGCAAATCTGGGTTGCCTTGGAGTTTTGCATGAAGGTTTAACACCCTCTTGGATGAAAGTTTCTCACAAGTGCAAAAGGAGTTATGTTTGACTTATTTTAAGTCATGCTGGCTGAGGTACCAGGGATTGATGGATTTACTCCATCTCTTTTTTTCTGGGTCTTCCCCCTTTGCTGAGGCCCAAGAGAGCATGGGCTACATGGAAGCAGTGAAACAGAACAACAGAAATGCAGAGAGCATCCAACTGTCTTTTTCAATTTCATTCCCCCTACCCTACCACCCCACTTTCTTCTTGCAGGGAAACAGCATAAGGCTTTTTTGAGTCATTCCTATCTATTTTGTCCAAACAGTCAGCTTGAACTCCCACACAAGTCTTTGTATTCCCAGTGGTACAAGTTCTTACGGAAAATGTGATGTGAAAATGAAGGAGATTACAGGGTGTGAAAAGATGTTATGCTTCAGCAATTTGACCTTTGGTAATGCTACTACAACTGTGTTAAGACAGAAGCTTTAAGGTTTATGATTTGTGTACGTGTTTTTCATACTGTTAAATGGATAGTTAGCAGCTGGGGATACTGCCTGAAGGGTGAAGCAAATTTAACCCTAGAACTGTCTTGTGTAATGTGTCAGATGCATGGCCTGAATTTCCTCATTTTCTGCTTGTTAACTAATGGGGTTGATTATGCTGTGGGATTACATTGCTTTCAGGCTCTTCAGTACCACGTTCCAAAAAATAACGGAGCTATTGAGAATAGGCAGAGCATTTCCATTTCCATTCTGCAATAGTCAAGTCTTGCCTTGAGCTTAGTAAAAGGATTCTCTTTACCTGTATTCCTGTCCAATCTTCAAAAATTAAAACTAAGCCATCTTTTGTTTCTTCCCCTGCAACGGGAACAGAGTGTGAATGTGCCATCTGCCTTGTTTGTGGAAGATGGTCCTTGGCAGGAAAAATGGTGGTATCTAATCTGAAATTCTAAATTGTGTAAGCATATTGCCAGGAGAGGTGCAATCTTCTACCAGACAGTTAGACTTCAGTCTCTCTACTGCTATACAAATGTTTCCCATTGGTTCTTACCTTACGTTAAGACACGGTAATGTAATTCACTTGAGATTTAAAAAGGTGCAACTTACTTTGGGTGAGGAAGCTGTGACTGGAAGGATGAAGGGTAACTTGGATAGTAAGTTGTGATTCTCCTATCATAACACAACTCTATACTGCCCTAAGAAATTCCAAAGACAAGAGCAAAGCGCGTTGGTTTAATTTGAAGGATAGTTTTTGTTTTTAACCAAAAAAGTGTATACAAGTATTTCACAGAGCACGGAGCATAGAATGGTTGTGTTGGAGTATGACATTGTATCAGCCTGGTTGGAGAGCAACTCCCTTATTCACATCATTAAGTTATTTCTTTAGTCTTGCTGAAAGTTAATGTGAAGTGGTGCTTTCTGTGAGGACTGTCTTAAGTCAAGGCTGTTTAATGACAGCAATTACTGAAACAAATCTCTTTTTAGATTACACACTGCAGTTTAAAGATGTTTGCACATGTTGTGTTCCAGATAACGTGGTTTTCTTCTTTGTTTTCAAATCTAACTTGCTGAATATAATTCACATTTATGAAAAAAAAAAAAAAAAAGATTTCACTATGGAATCTTTTGTTCCACTGTAAATTAAGCATAATGATGGATGTTCGTCACTATCAAAGAGTTATTTAATGTATTAGGGCAAGTTCTTCACAGTACATTGTGTTTGAGATTATTCTTCTGGCTATTAGCTGTTTGTAATAATTTCCCAAAAATGACTGCCAATAAATTACGTCTTGACAGAGGTGGCTTTAAGAGTGACTTTATGGTTTTCTTATTGTTTTAAAATGGATCGTACTGTCATCAAGGCAGTGAACTCCTCTTTTCTCCAAGGATAGAACTGCTTACATTTCTGTACTTCAGAAAGCTGTTATATAGTTGAAAAGCTGATAACTGGGGGGGAAAGTGAAAGAAGAACAAACGGAGGGGAGAAATTTTTTGTTTGGTAAATGAAGATAATTTTTTTTTAATCTATTCAAACACAATCTTTCTTTTTGTGTTTTCTTTTCCTTTACTATTAATGCTAGCATTAAGGAAGGTTATATTGGCATTTATAAGTGACTGCTAATGAAATAGTGAGATAACAACCTGTCTTCTCAATAACCAGATGTGAATATGAAAAAGCTATATGTAACAGCCTTCAGAGGGGCATTTGTGACTATTTCAAACTCTTCTGCAACTGCCACTTCTGGTAGTATCATCATATGTGGTGTACAACCAAAGTTGTTACAGAGGGATCCAATTCACTGGGCATGTGAATGGAATGTGAACCACATTCAGATTTTTGGGTAGTGTTGGTCAAGACTGAAGGATTTTGACCATGCAGCATGCTTCATGAAGGCTATTGAAGCACTGAGAGTAAATGTTGAGAATACAGCTACAGATGAAGTGATGGATAGCATCTCTAACTACAAGTATGCGGGGTGGCCATAAATTTGAAGTGATAGTTTCTCAACTTATTTTTCTGTTATTTTTGACTTATATTTGTTGTGCTGCAGTTGCTTCTTCAAGTGTATCTTCAGAGCAAAAGCTCTCAGTTGAGTCAGTAGATGACTTCCTTTCTGTTTTCATGCACTACAAATGCTTATGCTACCTTTTGGACAGGATCTCTATGAAACATCCATCTTTTCAGCTGCAGAGCTGTTTTATTATTGACATAACAATTATAAATTCCATCTGACTGTTAGCACAGTGTGCTCTCACTGTAAATAACACTTTATAGCTTTGTCCACACCTTTATATGCTTATCATTGTTGAGATTTCTGTTACGGGTTAGAATTTTAAGAAAATAATAGGAAACTCTTTTGACAGTGGATTCCTATGTTACTATACCTTGTTTAACTGTAAAATGGCTTGGATTTAAATCCAAGCTTTAAGAGCTTTCTGAATTACCTGGACCTCCTACAGCTTTGCATGTTATTGTAAACAGATTTGTTATATAAATACGTATGAGAACGAACTCATCATATATATGTTTATTTTTTCAAGCAGTGTTAATAAGTCTTCTCCCTTATTTTTGATATCTAAGCTGAAAATTTCCTTTCACAGAAAAAACAGTATTCTGCAGTAAATTCACCTCATGTTTATTATGCACAGTGAAATGCTAGGACTTGGTTATAAAAGCATATCCACTTTGTTTGCAAGTAATTTCTTCACTTTCAAATTAATTTCTGCCACTGCAACTCTTTCTCTCTCAGCTCTTCTGGCTGAGAATACTTTCTCAGTTTTAGTGAAGGTTTTTTTTTTCTTTTTCCTTACTTAGTGATTTTGGTTTTCCTTTGTTCTCCCTATTTGGTATGCACATGAAAGCGGATGGTCTGTCGTTCTTTGGGAGCAAATCCAGATGACCTAAAGGACCCAATTAAAATTAGTATTCCACGCTATGTCCTGTGTGGGCAGGGAAAGGATGAACACTATGAGTTTGAAATAAAGGTAAGTGCTTTTCTCTTGCTTCTCCTTGATGTTTTACAAGCATAGAAATAGCATCATGGTAGTAATAATAACAATAGGAAAATGCCTTTTCTTTAAAAACATCTAGTTCCTAGTTATCTCTGTCTAACCATAGGTGTTCACTGTAGCCACATCATAGTTAGTAGCAGTGGACACAGCAATAGAAAGCACACCTGAGAAGCTCCAAATTACAGAAATCACCTTGCTAATTCCAGTGCTACGTAGTCGTTGTTCCAGTGAGTGCAGTTCTTGTCCTTCTGTGCAAGTGCCCTCTGTACTACTGAACACAAGGGGTTTTGGGAAGGATGCGCAGTACAGGACATTATAAAGATAGTATTTTCCAAATGATTGGTTGTCAGATCTTTGGGAAAGACAGTTCCAGGTCTTACTAAGATGCAAGTGTAAGGTACAGAAATGTTTGGATTTGAAATGTTTACCTAATGGGAGCCTAAGTTAAGTATTCTGCAACAAAAGCTTGTTTCATTTCTGGCTCTTTGTTTCGTTTCTTCCCACCTTGCGTTCACAAGGTCTCTCTTTTCCAAACTATTTCCTCTCCATTCTAGTGTCTCTCCCAGTCAATACTCTGCAGAAGTGCTGGAAAAAATGCATATTCATTATGTTTCCTCTGGTACTAAGCCAGTTATTTCAAAGCAAGATGTGAAATCTAATTGGAAATGTGCTTTCAGTACATGTGGACATGTAGCATAACTGATGTACATGGCATCAGAGACTCAGTTGGCAGCCACCTACACTGAATCTATTGCCAGATGCTTCATCAGGTGGTGATAGCTGGAGGAGTGACCTGCCTTCACAGTGTGCAGGTCTGTTTTTGAGCTATGTTCATGGTCTCTTTTGCAGAGTCTTTCATTGAGACAGTCAGTCTTAGCTCTTTTATTGCTAATTAAATTGTCATCTTGAAACATATTGCACTGTCTGTGAATGGAATGCTCCTTTTTGCTGTTTGGATGTTGAATTTGCTGGGGTCAGTGAAAGCCCAGCACCTATCAGAGAGGCTGAGAAAGGAGTAAGTGCACATGAGCCCTCCCCAAGGACTGCTCTATTTGCCAGCTGTTTTCTTCAGGTGGGATTTACTAAACTGGATAATGATAGTAAAGGTAGATGAAGTAAGAAGTGTTATGTCCTTTTAGTCACAATCAGTAGATTTCTTCTCCAGGTACTCTTTCTTCACCCCTAAAACCCATGGAAGCATAGAGGGGCGACCTGGCATGAAGAGGTAGTTAAAGAGTATAGGAGGAAGGTTTACACTTGATGCAGAAGGTGATGTTATTCTGGGGGGAGAAATATGAATGAAAGGTGGGGTTTTTGATGAGGAAAGAACAGGATAATATCCAAACAAAAAATACAAGAACACATGAAATTAGGCTTCAGCAGTTCTGTTGCTTGTATTTTGTTTCTGCAAGACTCACAGTCTGGCCTCTCCAGTGGCATGGAATGACCTGATGCAGTCCTCTGACCAAGAGCTTTGTGTATGGTGTGGCTGTTCTCTTCTGTTGTACTTGTCAGTACCATCATTTTTTCTCTCTCCTGTACCAACTCTAGGCTGCCTCTTAGAGAAACTGCTGCTTAAATATCTTTGATCAAGTTCAAAGCAAGTAAATGATGGTACAGAGTAGGGAATGGGCTATCACTTCAGTAATTGTGTTCCATTGTTTCCGACTTCCTTAGAGCAATAAATATTTTTATTATAACTCCTGTGAACCTTAGTTTGACACTCTGTGAGATATCTTAGTTGCTCCCTTACACAAATCAATCATCAGTGTACACTTTTTTTTTCCCCTTTGCCTACAGATCTCTGTGCCACACCAGACTGCTTTTGCTATGGTCAGGATTTTGCTCCAAGCTACAGTCTGCAGAGTTTCCACAAACTTTTCTGTTTTAAATCTTTTCCCTGCAGAGCTCCCATCTCTGCTTCGATCTTTAGTATCCTTCAGCTGTTCCTACTCATATTCTGTAAGATATCAGAATATGTGATATAGTGATTTATTTTTTCCCCCTAAAAGCTAGGAAAGTAGAATTGTCTTTCTGCAGGCAAGAAGGAGAGAATGTGAACATGTTTTACCCTTTCCTGATGGGTGAGGATACAATGTCAGTTGTAGAAATAATTCTTTATTATAGCCCCACTTTTCTTTAGTTAATTTCCAGGTGATGGTGCATTAGAAAGTACATCAATCTTGGAAGGGGGCCCTTGTGCTTGTCTCGTGTCCTTTGTTGCTGCCCAAATGGGCTTTCTTCACCAAGGTTGTTGTTCTTGTTGGGAAAATGGGTGGCTGACCTATATGTGTGCAGCAGCACTTAAAAATCTGTCACAGTCAAGGTGATTGAGTTGAACTGTAAAAGAGACTCAAAGCCTTTGAATCCTAAGTATCTCAGAAGTTTTTTCATCAGCAGATGATTCTAATGATTGTTTTTGCAGTGAAATCCTTGTATATTATATTGCTGCATGGAGGAACAAATCTGACAAATATTTTGTATAAATTTCTTCTTGTAAAATGAAATAGTAAAAACTACTTTGTTTGTATGCCCAGAGAAAGAGAACAAGTTCCACACTTCTTGGTAGTATTGTGTTAGTTCGTAAGTCTTTCAATCCTTCTATACCATCCAACAATATTTTCTTCTAGTGCAAGTTCAGCATCTCGTCCATCTAGATGGACATAATCTCTGGAAAGGTGTTCTGACCTGCTCACCTTCTGTCACTCAATACAGGTCACGCTTTCTGATGTCAAGCAAGGCCCACAAGATCCTTCTGGGGAGAATGCAAAATAGAAACCAAGACACACTTTAATTATTAGAGTTAGCACCTTCTTTTGCTGCAAGAAAAATCATGGAGTTGTTTCTGTGGCTCTGCTATTAAATATTTGATACTAATAGGTAACTTTCCAAATAAATTTCCTTTTGGGTGACAGTTTTATATGCAGTCTTTAAAGACACGATGAAGCAGTGGTAACTTAATCAGGTCTAAACACAGTTACCTTAGAGCTGAATTAGAATACCTGAAGATTATCGTGTGTTCTCTGCTTCCTTTTGTGTTGCTCTCATACTCAAAATATTCAGACAAAGCCACAGTAGAAACAGCATGTGGGAAGATTTTTTGCATTGTAAGGTTTTTGCATTGTTGGCATTTGTTACAGAGAGACCTGAAATTACTAGACAGCATCTGTGGGAAGCAGGAGGAGCAGTGAGGTTGCAGGGAAGGGGGAACCTCCAGTTCAAAGACACGAGCGGGTCTCGCAAGAGCAGGAGGTGGGAAACTAAACCAGAAATCAGGCATAGCCCTGCTGGGATCC